TAACGAATGAAACGAACAATATTCATGAAAGAATCTACAGTTCAAACAGCTTCCATATATTTATTCAGTTTTATCTGAAACATTTTCAAACGATTTCTGAAGATTTTCCTTTCAAGAAAGCATAATTACCTTCAAATCTGTTTAATTTGATCATGGCTTCAAACACATTCGCCATTAAATGAAAACTATACTTACTTCAATAATACGTTTCTCTGGGAAAAAGTTTAGGCTTGGAAGTGTTTTTCTATAAGCCAATAATTCCAACTGATTCAAATCATTTACGCCATTTTCCATAAGTGGGTTGGTGATACAATTTAGATAGAACGACACCTTATCGTTTATCCGGATATAATACACTAGAATTGGATTTGAGTGTCTAACTAAAGAAGGATTTACATCTCAAAGTATGTTATTTAGCTATATCAAAAATGTTATGATGCATGAAACAATTTCTGTTCAAGTAAAAGCTTTTGATAACATTCTAAGAATGCTGGCAACATTGTCATTGAGGATTCTATTATCTTTTGAAGTTTGGACAAACCAATCCCCAGATACAATCTCCATAATAGAAACCATTGCCAAACAATATGTAAATAGAGAAGGCTCACTGAGTGTTTGAGACTTCAATGTAAAAAGACACGCAATTTTAATACATCTTCGTCGAAATATTTGTTTGATTTAAATAACTGACATTAATCATTTTATTAATCAATTCACCCCAAGAAAGGGAATAATGTCACTAAGATGCAAAGAGCTACTGGGAGTGAAAGAGAATGAAAGGAAATTTAGAGGGATCAGTAAGTAAATATCCTCAACAGGAAATAGTAGCTAATTCTCTACTCCTGTTGTAAAGACCGAAGTGTAAAGCGAACCGACAATAGGTGAAACTATCTACTGTTAAATTTATTATTATTACCATTACTATTAAATTTATTACTGTTACTATTACTATTAAATTTATTACTATTATCATTACTCTTAAATTTATTGATTTTATGATTACTTTTAAATTTATTACTATTACCATTACTATTAAATTTATTACTATTTCCGATACAAGGCGAAACAATCTAATCCTAGTGAGCGTGAAAATATTAAAAAAAAAAATGAATAATCAGTAAATAAAATTTCAGACTTCAGGCGGAGACGTTACGAATATATAGCTGAATTAGATATTAGAATGAACTTGAAACAATCCTAACCAGGAAACAAGCGTTAAACATCTGCCTCTCTTCAAAAGACAGTGAAGAAGTGCGAGCCGGGCGATAGGCGAACCTATCTTACCCTATTAAATCTATTCCTATTATTAGACGAAAATATCTTCTCCTATTGAGGTGGAAAATAAAATAAATAATTAGTAAATAAAATTTCCGATTCCAGGTGGAGAAATTTAGAATATGGAGTTGAAGAAGACTATAGAAGGAACCGGAAATCCAATTCCACGCAGGAACAAAGGGTTAAATCTATGCTTCTCTTCAAAAGAGCAGAGATATGTGTGAACCGTCCAGTAAGCAAATTTACCCAACTTAAATTATTAACATTATTAATATATTTAGGGATCAATTAGAGTAAGGAATATGTAGTCAGTCAATGCCGAAGAAATATTTGAGGAAGCAAATTTTGGTTTATATTTGTAAAAAATAAAATAGTACGAATCTACATATAGAGATGAGTTTGCATTGAAAAGATAGTGTTTCATAACATTACAAGTGATTCGACTTGTCTTACTGAAAGGAAACAAGATAATTTACTATTGAAACATTAGAAACATATTAATATGTATCGTAGAGGAAATGAAAAATATTTTGCGGACAAAGTTTCTGTTACTTAAGTATAACTAAATGGAATGAAACAAAAATAGATGATCATATATGGAAAACGTTGTAATCCTGCAGAAAAAACCTTATGATTGTCAGATTAATAGACTTTGGATATAGAAACTGCAAAATAGAATAAATGTGCAACAAATTTAAGCGGTAACAACAATCGATATTTCTCACAATCATAATTAATCGACTAAATGGAATGGAATTCTCGTATAGAGACAAATTAACAGATATGTAAAAGATTTAGAATGGCAGATCAAAGGAAACAATATGGATGACTGTGTGAAATGTGATTCAGTGATTATTCAGGAAGTCAAAATCCCATTTGAAGTAAACGTAAATTTTATTGGCTTAACAAAACCAAACCAAAAACACACATTTGACAACGAAAGGACTCACTATCAAAAAACAATTGCATCGATAGAATATAATGTTACTAAAGATGACGTCATTTTAGGGGATGAAAATGATGACCAAATGATGAATTTGCAATAAAAGCTACAAAAGTTTCGCGTGAAGTCAACAAAAGAAAACGATTACAGAGTCTAAATAAAGCTGAGTAAGTTTTGATCTTAGAATTGGAGAACTAAGAATCAAACATGAATTTAAATTTAACTAACAGAACGGGAAATATTGCACCAAAATCCGAAAACGTCTTGGAATAATGAAAGTTTTTTTTTTAACACAACAGCAAATATTAAGAAACAGGAAAATGTGACCGAATTTTTATCCGAAATCGAGAAGTCCTCCGACTTAAAAATTGTTATTCCAGCAATCAAAAATTCATACATTTTTCCATCAGAGAAACAACCAATAACCAGTGAGAACTTCTATATATTCGGCCACCAAGCCATCATTCCAGGGTAACTTTGAATAATTTATTAATGAAAATTCATTTCCCTTTGGAACGTCAGTGACTCTATATCTTCTATATTATTTATTACTGTAACGTTATTTTAGTAGGTACACATCTTTGAAGGGAAGTCTGAAGAATGAAAAACCCTAAAACAAGACTACGTTAAACGTCTGAAATGGTCACAAATGAAGAACGAAACATTTTGGTCAATGAAAATATGCGATGCCAATTGCTTGATGCAGTTAGTGCAAACCATGGTTGCGCAACCAAATATTAAATGATATTTAATTTAACACCATCTGTTCCTTTACTTATTCTCACCTGAATATGAGGTGATCTGATAAAAAGATATTATGTCCCAAGGTGTTTAACTCATCATAATTTAAATATTAGTTAATAAAATCTGAACAATTCTTTCATATTCCTCATTTGGTCTTAAACCCAAATATCTTCAGTGAAAAACAATAATAAATTAATCGAGCTTACCGTTTCTGTACTCCTTTCATTAAAATAGATGAATGGGATTTATTTCTATTAAATCAAAAACTTATGTGTTTTCTATGAATATTTAGTTATTATGCAAGTGTACAGTTTATTATGTGAAAAGTTTTTTCATTCATTAGTAAGAAATGCAATAAATTGTAGAAATTCTATGTGTACGAATATTTGTTTTCCCCCTACTATATATATGTAAAACTTTAACGGAATTGTCATATTACATTTTAAAGTCTAAATGAAGAATGAAAAGAAATTAAAAATCTTGAAAACAGAAATTACAATTAGTGCGCAGTTACTCTTAATTATGAATATTGATTTTAAGCTACACTATTTTTCATTCTTGAAATAAAGGCCAGACTGTCAAAAAATATTGCTTTAATTTTATCAGAATACATGTGCAAAACAAAGATGCATTGACTTGTTGACACCTATCAGGAAGCTCAAGCATAAACTTTGAGTAGAATCACGTAGAGTTTCATATAAAAAGTCTTTCGAGAAACACTTAGATGTGTTTTTCATTAGAAAAAGTTTTACACACCAAGGCGTTTTACAGTGAATGAAAAAACTTAATGAAGAAACCGATTGAGTTCCAATTTACATTTCCGTTATTATTCTTGCAAGATGCGACCGAGCAATGACATAGAAGAGAACAGCATTTATTTCAATATTTAAAAGGAATAAACCGATCTCATTACGCAATATTTTAATAAGGACAAAGGAACAGAAAACTTCAGTCAAGTCGCAAGTATTCTACTCACGATCAGCTTTTATTTCCTGTCTTACAAGTGTTCAATGTGGCCACCGCCTGCAACAGGGGAAACATCTATACGATACGAGAATTCCTCCCAGACGCATATCAGCATATCCCTGAGTTGATCGTTGTTACTTTTTGATGTTTAAGGTCATCGAGGTTAGTAGGTAGTGGTGGAACTTAAACGAGATCTTTACGTATCGCCACAAGAACAAATCACACACGGTGTGGTCTGGTTATCTCTGCTTACAGAGAAACGGCCTGCGGGACTTGATGTAAATGGACTCAAGAACCTTCAAATGATATGCAGAGAGATTGCTTGTTGGGCTTGAATGTGATTGGGCTCTAGTTCTTTCTATCATATATAAAAAATTTTTTTTTCTTTTTTTTCTTCCCCTCTTCCCCTCATTGAATTTTTTTTGTTTTTAAGTTTATGATTAAATATTCCCAGTGTAACAAACTTGAGGAGTACTGGGATGAAACCGGTTGTTTGTTTTAGTTCTTAGTTTTCATAATTATGTCCTTTACATTCCGCTTATTCCTTGCCATAATATATATATATATATATATATATATATATATATATATATATATATATATATTTATTATAAAACATTTTTTTTTTCTCTTTTTTTAACTTATTTTCCTCATATCATTCAGATAAACATATTTCATGATTGGCATCTTAAACACATCAAATCTATTTCTCTTGTTTCGTGTATCCATAATTATATATAAGTCTATATAAGAAAATGGCAAAAGCTTTCAATTAATCGAGATTTTCGTATTACAATTGTTACAAAAACTCAATTCAAAAGTAAAGATATGAGTTGTCAAGGAAAGTTTAAAATGTGTATGCGTTATATTGATTTAACATTATTTGGCAATATCACTGGGGGAGGTTGCCGTTGTAATAGTAGAGCTTGGACAACGTGGCGTTTCAGACAACGGCCTTTTCTGTCCCTGTTAGAGTGGAGCGACAGCCAGTCTGAATTTCTTGAGAATTCGTCGAGAGTTTTACTCAAAAACGTGATCACCTACCATGTGTATTGGAGTGGTTTCGACAATTATCTTTCTGCTAGATTCACCAATGGAAATTTTTTATGGCATTTAGTTTCGCTAAATGTTTGGGTGAGGTTGACATCTCCATGCATCGAACACCGAAGTGAATTATAAGATATGCGTAAATATCAACAACGCCGACGGGACAGTCGACGGTGCGGACGTCCAGACTACACCACGTTTCTCATCGGCCTGATCTCAGGGCTTCACTGTGCCTTTCGATCAGGCAATATGTTAAAAGGACAAGGATGTGATCATGTAGATCTTTCGATTAATGATTAACAGGAATTCTTCATACATAGTGTTGGACACAGCCTCCAATATCGATCATAGGTTTTAGCTGAAGTCTGATTTCAATTTTGATGGGCAGTGGTGAATTCATCGATGGTGTTTCTAGTGCATCGTGCCTGTAACCCTGATCATCTAAGGCCATCAACAACTCGTTATACCGTCACCTCTTGTAGTTCTTTGGCATCCGTCCCCTTAAATGTCCGTCAAAAACACTAAATCCATCTTTAAACAAAGACGAGTTAGCAGGACATTGACATCGACAACTTTGGTATCAACGAAATCATAAAAGAACAGCCATTGAACATTGAACAGAATAGAGAATGTGTCATGGCAATATTAATTTTAGCAGTTCCCGTACCGGGTGATATTGAGTCGAATTTAGTTAGTCTTCACTCTTGATATTTTCTTTCCCGCCAATTTCTTTGATTTATAGGTTTTAAGCTGACCTTCATTCGGAGTTGAATTCTGGTTTCGTGCAAGCTATGTACCGCTTCATCGAAGCTAATGACGCCGAATCACCATGAGGCTTAATTTACGGTCAAACCTTCTCCGATCGACGGTATCGGTCCGCCTTCAGATCTAAGTCTTTGTTTCTTGAGGTAAAATTGCCTTCTAATCACAAGCTCTGCAGTTCGTTTTGTGATTGCCAAAGATTTCACGTGTAGTGTATTCACAACATTGGTACAACCACTAGCTTCCATCATGGATTCATCATTGCAATCGTTTAGACGGGGGTCCTCTTAATAAGCCTACAGTCTAAATAGCGGATCTATTCTGAATACTGAAGTAAAATATTAAAAGCTTTGCATTTTTTTATGTATGATTGCCACACAAAAACTCTGTTGAATTTAATGAAATTTTGTTTTATTTTTTATAGCAAACATCAATGAAATAATGAAATAAATTTAAATAATAATGAAAATATGAAATAATTTAGAATGCATCATATTGGAAAATATGTGAAATAACTCACCAAAAATCGTACTAAAATCCATTATGTTATGAGACCTTGCCCATAATGGACTATTCCATACATAATAAATACTGCGCCTCAAGAGAGAGCAGGGAGCTCAGCCTTAAGTCAGACGACCGGCTGACCGGCTGATCGTTTGAACTCTCTACCTTCGGGCGGGAGGGAACCCGAACCAGGCTACGCCGAAGGGCGGAGTCTCTTTCGGGGAGGTAAACCGACCCTGAACCCGCTCGGAGATCAGTCGTTAAACTGGCCTTGTGCCACATGATGCCCTCGTGGGGTGGTGACTAAATACTGTTCAGTCTGAAGTCTGGAGTGAAGTCCGTCACGAGTCTGTCAGTAAGTCAGAGCGAGAAAATCAGTCAGCCGAGTCAGAGGCAGTCCGAAACAGAGTCGCGTTCAGATAATTACTACTAAACCTGATTACTCGTACTAACACTTTCTACTTCTCTATATATATTCTTGTTTGTAATATATGTGTGTTATTCCATATCCGTGTTCTTCTTTATTGGTCCTACCTTGGACCATCACCGTGGTACAAGGACCTTGGACCATAACACATTATAATAAAATTTAACGGTATCTATATGTGTGATTTGAAAACGGATCCTGCTATAACATTCTCACTGATAAAAATGCATTATTTATAACAATGACGGCTAAGAATTAATAACATTAATAAAGAAGTGCCATTCCGATGAAAGTATCTTTATATCTTGCAGGAAGAACTTTTTTTTCTTTAGGTAACCATTACAGCTTGCAGGCCGAGCTGATCAGGTTAAACTTGTTATAATTCAATTAATAAATTTTCATTTATCCGTCAGACTAGATTTTGCAGCTTGTGTTAACAAATTGTTCCAACCTTTATAAAAAAAAAACTTAATGAAAATATATTGAAATTTCTTGAAAGGTTGCATATCTCAATTACGGTTGTCTTTTGCGCTTACAGATGAAATCCTCCTGTAGTGATTGGAAATGGAAAGTGACAAGGACTGCCGGATATGGCGGAACAAAAAATATGGTGATTTCTTTCTCAATAAATTAATATCAAAAGTAAAAGTTGATTGATATAGAGCAAACGAAATGTTTATTTACATTCTATATTAAAATGTATGAGATAATGAAGAAATTTAATTTGTAAAATTCGGAAAAAATAAATACTTAAGATAAATATGTTATTCTGCTGAAATGGAGCCGTAGTTGACAAGTTAGAACGTAAACAATCAAGGATTGAAGTATATTATGATCGATTCGTCAAGGAAAGAATTTCTTGAAAATATCGGCCTGGAAGAAAATTAAGAATTTTCCTGGAAATCAAGGAATTTTTAGGCAGTAGAATGGTGAAATGTCTGAACGAGAAATCAGAGAATTCTGGTCGAGATGTTGAAATACAGTTTGGCAAAATTTCCCCCGAAAAAAGTTTTTGACTCATATCTTTGCAAACCGTGTACAGCCTGTTCACTCTAGTCTGATTGGCTCCGAAAAGACTTGTGCTGTGAAGGGTATGACTATTCAGGACAACCTTCATATGGTACGCTTGATCATCGAGCTAGTCTACAGTGAAGCTGCGTTGAACAATTAAGATCAGTTCCAAGCCTTCGGTAGGGAAAACCATCAATTTTTAGAGTCTGTTTTTTCGACGCCCGGTTTCGGTCCTGGATTCGACTTCTCTATGCGACTCCAGGTGCATTGGAGGAAGTTAATGGGGTAAGACAGGAGCCTTTCTTATTGTCTCGCTCCAATCGATATTTTAGTTTGGGGGCCCGGTCGTAATGAGCTGATTGATGAAACCAGTCTTACGAAGCAAGAAGCTCGCTCAATATGTCTTTGAGCGAGCGCGTTGAAATGTCTCAAGAACGATGAGGGAAAGTTCTGTTCAGTTTGTAGCAATACGGAACCGCCGTTGACAATGGCTGAACACTACGTGTTCTTTTGCTTGCTAGGGGTTATGAGAGTCGTGATTCTGCCGACACCTAAGAAGGTATTCCATGTAAGTTGGAAACTCACTTCTTCCTAACTGATCTTTCAACATTAAAGTCAAGATTAGGAAGTAAAAGCGGCGGCTCACTTCATCAGAATTTGGCAAAAGGTGGGTGAATCTTGCACGTTTGTGTCGAGTGAAAGGAGCTGACTTGGAGTAGCACTTGGTGCTGGTTAGGTATCAGGATATTGTTCTTCCTTGGTTGAACTTTGGCAAGCCCTCCCAAAATTAGGCTAGTTTTGGCTTGTCTTTTATCTTTAGTTTCCTATTTCTTGTTAGCCAGAGGATGTATGATCATTGGCCCCTTTTATATGTCCCCATATTTTCTTATGATTTAATTCCCCCTTCTCTCCCTCGTTAAGTGGTCAGTGATGTCAGTTCTCTGGAAGATGCAGGGCTCCTTTCTTTTCGCGTGTGTTTTGTTTTCGTATTATATTGTTCTGTCTGTCTGAGTGCTTGAGATGAATGAATGTTTTATATTCTTATAGTCCCGCATTGATTTCGTTAACTGATGTTTCTGCCAAATTTAATGATTGTGTGAGGTTTTATTTCTAACATTATTTTATTTGATTTCTTGTAATTAGCTTTGCTTTCATATTGCAAATAGCCATTGGGGCTAGATTTTTTTTAATGTTGTTTTATTCCCTTCCCCTAACAGATAATATATTGTACATATAGGGACTATTTTGGATTTTTATAGAGAAAATGAAGTATATGGTGGATGTAGTAAGAAAGGCAAGTAATGTCTTGTTTTAGTGTTAGGAATATTGTGGTATGTTTGTGTCAGTGATTGTGGCTAGCTAAGTCGAAAGTTAAGACAGATGAAAACCGTCCTTTTCGCCTTTCCCCATTTTGGCCTTGCGCCACATTCCTGTATATAGCAGAATAAATAACACATTTCTAATCTATCCCCTATTACCATATGGAACGATATTCTCTACTCTATTCACTATACCTTTTCACTTTTCGGATCACTATAAGGATTACTATTCATGCGAGTATTATCGAGCAAGTACTATTAATGCGAGTGTTATTCGAAGGCGTCTGAAACCAGCATTCTTCAGTGGTCTACTATAGTTGTATCTGCGATTATAATAGCTCTACATCAACGAGCATTATAAAAGGGAAAACGAGTATTCTTTGACATCACACAAATGGTAACGAGTGTTCGTTGAGTTACAAAACATCTACAGCTAGGATTAAGTAATCACCTTAACGTATTCTATAGTTTCCCTAATATAGAGGAATCTCAATGGTTATAGAATAAGAATAAATCTACAAAAGATTACGTAAGATATACGTGCAACATATTTAACAAAATGGGCAAAGTAAATAGAAAGAACAGAAAAGAGGGCAATTTATGAGTATTGTTTCGTAACTGTGTGTGAAATATGTAATGAGACACTGTGAGATATTTACTTTAGTAGAATTATTACATATGTCTGTGTGTAGTCAGGAACCATTACGACATTTTGTGCTATGTATAATTCTGTATTGGGTTCAATGCGACAGAATGTTCAGTGTCGACCAAAAGGTCCCCAAGAGTGTAATGAAACACATCTTGCCACTAATGTTTCCTGTGGGTAAAGAGAAAGAAAGGGAGAAACAATTATACGACCCTTCTGTTATATAATGTTTCGCCAAAACTGTTTTACAGAACTTAGCAAAATTCTTTGGCAGACAAGAACGTTTATCTCAAAACTCACGTGACATTTTCAGTATGTTTCAATCATAATTCATTTCAAAATTGAATGGCTTCTGATATTACTAAGCAGGCATTTAAATAAAATTATTTTCTATTTCGTATGATATTATAATGCAAATATTATAAACAACTATTCTCACTAAGATAGACGGATAAACCAATCAGAAAACTTTACTTAAACAGACATCATAGCGATAAGTTGTTTTTTTTTTTTTTTTTTTTTTGTGTAATCTTGTTTATTGTTTCGTTTGGTTTTCGCTTTTTTGGTTTCATTTTTTTTTCTTGTACAAGATAAATAAAGGAAAAATCGTATGAAGTGTCGTTTTGAGGTTGTTTACACCTGTGGGCAAAATTGATTTTTCTGATTTTCAGTTTTTTCAGCGAAAACAAATAGTTTCTAACGGGCTCACAATGGATACGCAGGTGAACTACACAGATAGAAAACAGACGTACACACACACAAACACATACACATGTATAGATAGATATATATATATATATATATATATGGTGCACACACACACACATATATATATATATATATATATATATATATATATATATATATATATATTAGTTTGGTGTAAGATTAAAGACTAAATTAATTTATCGCTTATGGAGATATTAAAAATTATATTCAAAGTTATATTACTTTATATGAATACAATAAATTCATATATATATATATATATATATATATATATATATATATATAAAATTGAATATAGAAAGTCAACACTTAGGGCGACAGTGTGTTTCATGCTATATGCAATCGTCAGCCTGACGATTGTTTATAGCATGAAACAGACTGTCGCCTCTAAGTGTTGACTTCTATGTTCACTTTTATATTTACAACACGCTCTATCTCTGATATTGAGCACTTTATCCCATAAATATAGCACACCTTAAGGCTATATGTCTTATATATATATATATATATATATATATATATATATTGTCGTCTACAGTCAGACTGTTTCGCTGTATCACAACTCATCAGTGTG